CAAGTTTCCCTATTCCTTAAGTTCCACTAAAATAAGAGATGCAGCCTTGTTCACCCTTTTAAACGATGTAAATATATTCTGTTAAAAAAAATCTCAATTTGCTACTGGTATGTTCCATCTCTTATGACTTACGTATTGCACCAAGGCACAGTTTGTTAAACTATTGATGACGACTGAATAAATCACAGCTGGGTTCACACAGCACAGAAAAGCAGAAAGCCTCGGTTTTCATAGGACTAAAGCAAAACCAAACAAAACTATTTGAATGCAGTCCAAGTGCAGCGAATGGGGATACCATATTTTGGGTTGCAACAATTCAGATGACCATAAGATGGCAGTATAGATACAAAAAACCCATGCTATCATAGAGTGGTCACCTGGACTTTTATATCCCAGTGTGTGGTAGTTTGCAAAAATATGGATGACCACTAGATGGCAACAAAAAGATACAGTATATTCTAACTATATTGATTAGCAGTATATATTTGGAATAATTTATTATGTATAACGTTGACTATTGACCTACCCCCCAAGTCCTGCTCTGCTGCCTCATGGCATTTATTTTCCTGGAGGAATGAAAGAAGAACACCAGGAATGCATGCTAAGAGTTTATACTCCCAGCAGGATCACTTGACACTTAAAGGTCATTCCAACTGCTTAGCTAAAGCAAGCAGACATCTATACTGGACAGCAGTGATACAGGAAGATGTTGGAGATAGATGAACACTTCAAGGAAAATGACAAAAGATGTAATTTCATGCTGTGTGGGAGTAGGCAATAATAAACCATTTCTGTATTTTATCAAGAAAGCCACATTGATAGACAAGACAAAGATTGACAAATAAGGCCAGATAATGAGCTCTATAGAGGAATGGTACCCAACATGCAATTGTGCAAGAACTAGGATCTTTAGTACAGGTAGTCCTCGACTTATGACCACAACTGAGCCCAAAATTTATGTTGCTAAGTGAAACAGTTGTTAAGTGAATTTTGCCCCATTTTATGACGTTTCTTGCCATAGTTGTTAAGTGAATCACTGCAATGCTTCAGTTAGTAACATGGTTGTTAAGTGAATCTGGCTTCCCCACTGACTTTACTTGTTGGAAAGTCCCAAAAGGTGATCACATGATCCCAGGACACTGGAACCATCATAAATATAAACCAGTTGCCAATCATCCAAATTTTGACCATGGGGATGCTGCAGTGGTTGTAAGTGTGAGTCATAAGTCACTTTTACGTTGTAACTTTGGATGATCACTAAATGAACTGTTGTAAGTCAAGGGCTACCTGTACTTATGCTGTTTATGATGCAGTTACGGATGTTTTAAAAAATCTCTAATGTCTAGTTGCTGATGCCATGCAAGGAAAGAAAATCCAAAGCTGCAAAGGCAGAATTACAGTGACACCAGTGAAGCATGAACATGGGAAAGCCGAACATGTGAAAGATTAAATCAATCAACTGCATATTAACATCTTGGGCATCAGAAAACTGAAATGGATTGGAATTCTGACATGTGGTCAGAAGTTCATACAGTACTGTGAGCTACACAGGACACACACAGAAAAGAACTAACATTGCTGCTTTTAACCACTGATGCAGAAAAAAAGAGATTGAAGAATTTTATGGTCAAGTTTAATCAGCAATCAATTTATAAGCAAGATGTGCTTCTTGTGGTTGGAAACTAGAATACCAAAACGGGAACAATAAAGAAGAAAACATATCTGGATTATATCGCTAGGAAACAGAAATGAAGCACGAGAATGACTTACCAATTTCTGGGGATCCAGTTTCAGAAACTCAGTTTTCAAGGACATCATCACGAATCACTTTGAAGTCCTCACCTTCATTGATAGGAAGTAAGAGGAATTGTGAAAAGAAAAGAAATAAGGATAATTGTGAAAGGAGACTGCCAAAGATGAAGAAACAAAAGAAAGCAAACTAGATCAGAATAGATGGTGAAAAATTGTAACCCAAAAAGAGATGAGAGAAGAAGCCAAAGCCAAGAAAGAGAAAGCTATCAGGAAGAAGCTTAATGAAAAAATTCAGAGAACTATTAGAAAGGACAAGAGGCAGTATTACATCAACTTCTGTAAAGACCAATATGGAAACAGATACAGAAAAACAAGACTTTTTGTTTTTTAAAGAACTGTGAATTCCAGAAGGAGATTCCAATCTTCATTTGGAATGATAAATGAATCCACTGGAGAGATAGTAATTGAAGATTAAAAAGATGGGGAAATATGCTGAAATGTATACTAAATATCCCAGCATCCAAGATATTTTAGAAGATATTCCTTTTTTTAGAAGAAGCTCTAGGACTAAAAGATGAAGTTAAAGCAGTAACTGGTTATTAGTGAGAGGACTACAAGAACTGACGGTATACTGTATTTGCAGAAATATGACAAGTGACAGACAAATCAGTAAAGGATGGAACTGAATGTGATTGTCACTGATGCTTCCTCGGATGCTATTTTTTCTTCATCTGAACCTTAAAATATTAAACGAGTGATCAAACCTTTATAACTGGGAACAAAAGTTGCTGAAAATGCTTTTATGTTGTAATTCCTCTACATAATATATATTTTCTATGGAGGAAGGACCTATGTATTGGATGTTCAGTAAAATCTCAGTTTAACAAACCATTTGAGTGGATTGTGTGTCCATTAAATCCAAATGTCTATTAAATCCAAATTCACATCATTTGTATAATAAATCATTGCAGTAACAAAAGATTTGTCCAAAGTCCGTTAATATGAAACTTGCCTAAAGATTAAGAAATGTAAATTGCTGAATATGCCTGTGTGATAGAACCTTGACACTTACATCAGGTAGCTATCACTTCTTGTTTTTCACAAGTGCAACTCCAAGCTCTCTGTTGAACAGTTTCATTTCACAGTGCTCCTCAGTAAACCTAGAAGCTGCATGGGATTGATTAGTGAGAGAGATTAGTCTTTGACTTACTACAGTTCATTTAGTGACTGTTCGAAGTTACAGCGGCACCGAAAAAAGTGACTTTTGACTATTTTTCACACCCATAGAAGCATCCCTATGGTCACGTGATCAAAATTCAGATGCTTGGAAACTGGCTCATATTTATAATGGTTGCAGTATCCAAGGGTCATGTGATCACCTTTTGCAACCTTCTGACAAGCAAAGTCAATGGGGAAGCCAGACTCACTTAACAACTGTGTTACTAACTTAATAACTGCAGTGATTCACTTAAAACGTGTGGCAAGAAAGGTCGTAAAATGGGGCAAAATTCACTTAACAACCTCCTTGCTTAGGAACAGAAATGTTGGGCTGAATTATTGTCGTAAGTCAAGGACTACCTGTATTGCCTCTGTATTCTAAAGATCAACAAAGCACCTAAAAGCAGCACCATCCAATTGCTGGGGAACTCCTCAAGTGCCATCAACAATAGGATCCATTTGGAGCAAATCCTCTTAATAGGTCCCTCCTCCCTGCATAAATTGGCCTCCTCCACCTGATTGGTGTTTGGAAGGGTCCTGAAGACCTGGCTCTTTGCCCAGGCCTTTGGCAAGCATAATTAAAGCCCTTTTTCTTCTTCTTTCACATTGTTCCAATCTGAATTTGTTATCTGCCTGTTTGCTCTTGTTGTTTTCTAGTCTTGATGTTTTTTTTAACAATTTGTAAACTGCCCACACTTGCTGGGAATCAGGTGCCATACAAATTTAGTAAATAATAAGGAAGTGAGCTGCCCATGGCAATGGACTGCTGGAAAAGTACCCAAGAACTGTATCATGACATATCAGTACACAGTGAATACTTGGTTATGAATTCCCAAGCTGTCTTAGATCCCATGGAAAGGAGATTGAAACCACCCACTAGTAAGAGGCTGAGGAAACCTATAATTACCCCTTTGAGGAAATTAGGCAGTTTGGTGAAGGAGAGCAGTACAATTCCAGCACCCCAGCTTGTTCCTTTGGCCCAGCATGGATTGCAACAACCCACATCTGACCACCTGCAGAATGGCACTCCACAACAGTTAGGATCTCCTGGCACCTCATTATGCCAATCCTGTTATGGGGTTGCAAATGATGCAGAATAAAACACCTAGCTGGACAGATCTCCATGAAGGAGACCCTTCCCCTTCAGCCAGCCAGATCTCGGTAATTAAATTATAGCTTAAATCTCCCGGTCCTTTGAATAATCATGCCACATCAATGCACAGATAATCTTATTACAGTGAAAATTGGCAAATATATGCATATTTTTATTAAATGCAAAAGCTGTAACTATGAACTACGAGCTTTAATTCATTCAATGGGAGAGACTAAATTAGGGATATTTTGTGGGATATTACAAAGGTGCTCATTAATTGTATTGTTTGTTTCTAATTTTTCCCAATCCAGCTTGTGCCCATATTTAAATGAAACCAAAAAGGAAGATGCACCAACTTCAAAACTGATTGAAATATTGCATGTCTTCAGACCACTAGTTAAGTTCTTGAACATCAAGATTTGAATAAATTGCAAATTGTTTTTTGGAGTAGAAAACACTGTTTGTAATCAGTTGTTGGTATTCAAAAACTGAGATAACTAAACTTACATCAATATGTTTGAGGCTATTTCAAAAGATCTGAAACACAATAGGTTTTTAAGCAGTTAAAAATGTTAATTGAGAAACAATTTGTAATTTGTTCTCATGCAACCTTCATCTGTGCACCCACAGTCTTCCTCTCCCTTCATCTGTATATACCGTACCTATTTAAATCGTACATCAGTTAAGCTACTCCACGCATCTGATAAAATGAGCTGCAGTTCATGAAACCTTATGCCTTGTAATAGTCTGTTAAAAAGATGCTCCAGACTCTATTTCTGGCTACCATAGATAATCGCGGATCCACCCCTACAATGTCTATAGTTGTTGGTACTGTCACTTTAATGCTTTATCAGCTTGCAATTGGCTGGAAGATTGGAACGTTCCTACATGTCGAAGGACTGTCTTGTGCTGTGATTGGCTGGACTAGACGCTGCAGGATACTTCCTGGAATGTCTGCAAGTGGACGTTCATCTGGCTGTTTCACTGAAAAGTGATGATGGGGACTTTCTTCTATACAAGATGTAATTAATAGCCATGAGATTGTAGGTAAGAAGAATGTGCGATTTCGGCAGACTGTTTGTTGCTTTGGACACAGCACAAAAACATATGGACATGTTGCAGGGCCAGCAGATCCACGTTCAGTAGGAACGAGACTGCTCACTAGCATATTAAGTTGTTCTATTGAACTTTTTAACCATGTTTCATTTAATTATATTATTACAATGCAAGCATATTTTTTAAGAGTAAGTAAATTAGTATCTGCTTCATAAGGAGAGGAATCGCATAGCAAAAAACTGCTAGAAGATGAAATTTGATCAGGAGGGGGATAAATGATTCCCTAAGAAACAATGGAAAGTACTTTATTTGTTTTTCTTTTTCACAGTGGAATGCAACCTCTAACCAGATCAAGTATGCTATACAACCTCCCTTGAAACTAGCTTTCTACATGTGCTGAAAATTATTCAGTTTGTTCAAAGTAGGTATTGTAACAATGGTCAGTGGGAGCTAAAACCTGACAAAACTGCATTACGAGCTTTTGTAAAATACCAGGATGAGCTTATAATTTGCTTCAGAAAGGAAAAAGTTGGCAACAGCAGTTTAAACATGGCTGGAATTTGGGAGCGGATATGGGGAAGGGGAGAGTATATTTTATAGCCATCCTTTTAAATACTTAGATTGATTACACTCAAGACTGTACTAGAGAGGCTACTTTTCTTTATAATTTCCCAAGGAATGTCAGAAAGCGTCTGCCCTGTTAGCAATAAGGAAACAAGGAATCTATAAAAGAATATGATTTTACCTGTGCATTCTAAGGTTGTAATAAGTAAAAGCTCTTACATTGGGCGGGGGGGTGAACGTTATATGTCTTTTGTGGTGAATTGATTAAAACTACAGTTATTTTCTGTATATATTACAGGAATTGTGTGTAAAACATTTGCATTTGAAATCTCTGTCAAAGAAGTTTGTCATAAATGTATAGATGTGTGCTTTTTGATCATGGAAATGTAAGGTGTGCTTGGGATAGAAGGTGTGTGAACCTGGGGATGGTATATAGAATTCAGCTCATATTCCTGCACATATTTCCAGTAATATGCTGCTGCTTCCTTGATAGACAAATACAGGTAGTCCTCGACTTACAATAGTTTGTTTAATAACCATTCAAAGTTGCAACGGCATTGAAGAAAGTAACTTATGACCATTTTTCACACTTATGACCATTGTAGCATCCCCATGGTGACGTGATCAAAATTCAAACGCTTGGCAACTGACTTATATTTATGATGATTGTAGTCTCCCAGAGGCATGTGATCACCTTTTGGGACCTTCTGACAAGCAAAGTCAATGGGGAAACCAAATTCACTTAACAACTATGCAAGAAAGGTCACGGGCAAAACTTACTTAGCAAACATTTCACTTAGCGGCAGAAATTTGGGCTTGATTGTGGTGGTAAATTGAGGACTACCAGTAAAAACTGATTTCTTGCTTATGTATTTTAACTCCATGTTGCTGTTTTTCATTTTGGATTTTTCAAAGCTTATTTTCCAAATTAGGTATCTGCAGTTTGGATAATATTGGCTGGGTTTATATATTGACCCATAATTTGCTTATGAAACCACAGTTGAATGAATTCACACAATATACTAACAAAAAAGAAAATCAAATTATGTCTTGATGTGCTATGAGAACCCAGCAGTTGCATGTTAAAATGTAGGGTTTATTTTAAAGTCTGGTTGGACATCCTCACATCTGTACTTTTAGAAGCATCTTTCTATTTAAAAGTGAGTTTTGTTTGCTTTCTCTCTTGAATAGCTCACATATTAGCCTATGATGTTTAAAAACAAATACTGTAAAATATTGTTTCTGTAAGTGCCTTGTGATTCTGTATAAGTTTTCAGTCACAGAAGCTTTTCCAATTTGTCAGAATCCCAAGAGCCTAAATTTTGGTATTGGGCAAAATAGTATCAGCTTCTTGCATATAATTGTAGAAGAAGGAAGAATGTGGTAATGGGAGGAATAAATTTAATTTACACAATTTGTATATCTATGTCTTTATAATCTTGCATATTTGGAGTTGGGCTGTGTTTTATATCACTAGAAGAGAATACAATATCTTCAAGATTAAAATAGAATACTTTTCTTATCTGTTACAAGCAGCATTTTCTTATTTGTTCTATCTATGAATATAAGACTATTTAAAATTATTTGCCAGGTACTGGAAATCAGAAGCCATTTAACATGACAACAGAAACGTTGGTGAAAGATATTAAACCAGGCATGAAAAATCTAAATCTTATATTCATTGTGCTGGAAACAGGTAAGTCATGTGAAAGAGAAAATAGGTTTGTATTTTTTTAAAATCACTATGTAAGCAGTTGGGAGACCAAGATACATGCCCTATTTCTCACTAGAATGCTTCAATTCTGGGTAAGATATTTTCACTGCCTTTTTTTGTAATTACTTTGTAATTACTATGTAATTATTTCCTTTCCCTCACTGATCAACTAATTGCTGTCTTATTCCAGAAAATGTTGGTTATTAGCCAGATTAAAAATACTTTCTTTAAAACAAAATTGTATTTTCAAAAAGATACTTTATATAACTAGATCGATAATGTTACTGAAGTTATAAAATTAATACTCAAAATAGCATTAGTAAAAGGTAAACCATAGCAAACAAAGTACATTGAACTATTTTTATGATATAAAACAAAAGTATATATTTTAGCTTAAAATCTCCACTACAGTATTATTTATAATTATAAAAAAGAAGAAGAAAACCCCTTAAGAATAATATACATAAGTATTTAATTTCTGACTCCCCTCTTTGTACTCCAAACAATTTGCAGTACCTGTTGGCTTTTAAAGTTAAAAATACTTTTAAAAGTTTATTATATATTACATACTAATGAACTCAGTGGTATATACTTACAGTACACTTAAGTGGCTTTAAAATTGCAATGTTATATGAGGGGGGAAAATAATACAGATAATTCTCGATTAATGATCACTCAAAGTTATGTGATTAAAGTTAATGACATGATTAAGTGATCAAAGTTAACAGGATTTGCTTAAGGACAGCTACAAGGAATGCCGAGATTACTGTTGCTAAGCAACGGAGTTGTGATGTTGCACTGTACGACCGCATCGCTTAGTGATTGAAATTCCTGTCCCAATTATCCTTAAGCAGGTCTACCTGTATGGCATGATCACTGCTGCTGATCATGAAACAGTTTCCGTGATATAGAGAAGCAGACTGAACTCTCAGAAAATGACTATTTTTTTAGATAATCTAAACAATTTACTTCCAGTCTGATACATATACCAGCTCAGTATTTAAACATCTAGGCCAGGGGTAGGCAACCTGGGCTCTTTTATGACTCGTGGACTTTAACTCCCAGGATTCCTGAGCCAGTTATGCTGGCTCAGGAATTCTGGGAGTTGAAGTCCACGGGTCATAAAAGAGCCCAGGTTGCCTACCCCTGGTCTAGGCTTAAAAGAATATGCAGTTGAAGGTGGGATGTATTTGGAGTGAAGCAGTGAGTGACAAAAAAACCCTCTCCTTCACTCATGAAAGCAGATGCCTGCAGTTGTCTTGAATTGTGGTTCTTGTTCTATCATTAGGCCGGGTGACCAAGACAAAGGATGGTCACGAAGTACGGACGTGTAAAGTAGCTGACAAAACAGGCAGCATTAACATCTCTGTATGGGATGATGTTGGAAATTTAATCCAGCCAGGCGATATCATCCGACTCACCAAAGGGTATGGGGGTTTTTCCAAGAGGAGTGGCTTGGGAGAAGCTTGGGGAAGAGGTGTTGTTTTTGAAACTGTGGCTAAACCCTATGTCAGGGGTAGGCAACCTTGGCTCTTTTATGACTCGTGGACTTCAACTCCCAGAATTCCTGAGCCAGAATTCTGGGAGTTGAAGTCCACGAGTCATAAAAGAGCCAAGGTTGCCTACTCCTGCTTATGTCAAGAGAACAGCAAGTATGACTTGACTGTTTTGTGGAATGTGCTCAAATTAGTTCATACAAATTAGTTATTTAACGTGTTTCACCGCTTTTCTAAATTTTGTTAGGAAAGTTTAAGGGAGGGATGGGAAATCTGAGACTTCAGATGTTGCTGAACTATTATCTTCTAACACGCCTCATCATTGGCCATGCAGTCTTGGCTACCAGATGTTTTAGATCCAGCAGAATGAACTTTTCATCAGCCCTAATATAAAGACTATATATAATTCTTGGGATCAGTCTAATCTGCAACATTTAACCTATTTCTTAGACCTGTACATATTTTCTTCTGCAAATGTACATGTTGCTTTTAAGGTTCATTTTCCTCATATTTACACTAAGGCAGACTTAAGCTTAATTTATGCATTGTTGTTGGTCATAATTTAGTTTGCTTGACATTGATTTGTCTTGTGGAGTTGAACCCAGCTATTGTGGTTTATAAACCATGATTTATGGCTCAGTATGTAATTTGAACCTATCCAATTTTGCTTATTCAGTAAATGATGGTTAACCAAACACTGATTGAGCAGAACGCATGAATCTGCCTATAAAAAGTGGTGTACAGGTAGTGTACTTTTAGTGACTACAGTTGGGACTGGCAACTCGCTTGTTCAGAGAAGCAGTTGCCAAATGAAACAATTGCTCTGCTTAGGATCTTACTTCAGCTTTCTTCTGCTTTAGAGACCTACAAAGGTTGTAAATGTGAGAATTGGTCATAAAGTTACTTTTTCATCACTGTTGTAAGACTGAACAATCACTAAATGAGACAGTCACTAAACAAGAACTACCTGTATACAAGCAGAGCGTCCTGTAACATTGCTCTGACCTTTTTTGATGTTCTGTGCAAATATGAACATGCTAGCAAAGACCCAACACACTAAGTTTGCTGTACTGTGCAGCCAGCCCAACTAACTGAACATTTTTGTTCAATTCCAATAAGTAGAGCAAATCTAGAAAACTTAGCAGCAGAATCCCATTCATGGCTCCTTGGAAATAAGTCTGTTGAATTCAAGGATACTCACTCCTAGATAAATCAGTTTGCGGTTCATATATTACTGGTTTCAATGAGATTTAAGAACATATAATCTTCCTCTCTTGCACCCATTATCATCTTTGTCTGGAAGATTAGTTTACTTCCATGAGGAACAAACAAGCACTGTACAGATATTATATAGATAGAGCTTCATGTGATGCACCAAAAAGACAGATTTCTTCTTGAGCAAAACTAGGAACTGTGTGCTGCTTTCAATAATGAGTTTTTCTTTATCAGGTACTCATCAATTTTTAAAGGCTGCTTGACACTGTACACTGGACGTGGAGGAGATCTGCAGAAAGTAGGAGAGTAAGGCTCATAGTTTATCTCAATGGTTCTTCCCAGTATTAGGGGATAGCTAGGTGGATTTTTTCCAATTTTGTGCAAAGACAGATTATCACCAAAGAATAATTCTGCCCTAGAACATATAAAATATCTCAAACCATGGAAGGCATCTTCCTTTGTTTTTAGGTTGAAAGAAATTGGTAACATCTTATTATATTTCAGATTACATTTAGCAATCCATCTGTCATTAAGAAATCACTGCCTGATCCACAGGTCTAAATCTTATGCCATGACTTCTTTATTCTCTAGGATAAATGTCCCTACCCTGTGCTATACTTAATTTAAGCTTCACTTTGTTATCAAGATATATTTTGTTTTTTCACAGTGAACTTCTAGTTTTCCCAATGATTATTTCAGTGAGACATTCCACACTGAAGTATTACAGTTGTTATTTGTGCTAATAAAGATTTGTATAATGATTTTTACATATTGTTCTTTAGCCATTCTTAAATCAGTGTATAGTGCTATAGAGGTTCACTATCCTTAGGCTAAAAGGGTATGGCTTGGAGGAAAAATGTAGTGAATAAGGACAAAGAATAATATTAAATATGTGCAGGTCAAAGGAAAAAATAATTCAGAATGCACGGGGGTGATCTTGAAAGTTTATTTTATTTTATTTTAATCCTGCCTTTATTATCTTTATAAATAATTAGGGCAGAAAACATATCTAATACACCTTCCTCATATTTTCCCCACAATAGCAATCCTACAAGGTGATTTGGACTGAGGGAGAGTGACTGGCCCAAACTCACTCAGCCAGCTTTTATGCCTAAAGCAGGACTAGAACTCATAGTCTCCCAGTTTTTAGCCTGGTGCCTTAACCAGTAGATCAAACTGGCTCCTTCATTTCATAACATTTCAATTTATGAAGAAGCTGCATCTTTCCTGGTATTGTGCAGATGCTGCCTTACATTCCTGGAAAAGATGTGTTTGATTTAAAGAACTGCCAGCAGGTGCTATGTGCTAATTCACCTAATTGACCTCACCCCCTTTAAAGCTCTGAACATCTCAAAGAGCACAGTGCTCAGTTTTAATGTTAAAATGATCTTGGTGTATCTATTCCACTAACCATGAATCAATCTTAAATGCCCAGATAAAACAAGTGTGTCCAAGTTCTAAAGCTGATGGTTGATGTATTTCCTAGTTGATGTCTGAGTCAGAGCTCCTTCATCCCTCCTTTGATCTTCAGTAAGAGCTCACTGTGAATAATCTTGCCTAAGTGTTACTATCTACCTCTGGATCTCTTTCATTTATTAACAACATGAACATTAACACCAGGTCCATAATGTTGCCATTGTTGGCTGGTCAAGTTTTAATTTCAATGGGTTGAGTTAATATTTTCCCACCTTCATTCTTTCCACCCTTATTATTTCCCTTGAAAGTCCATTGTTTGGAAGAGCGGAGCTTTTAAGTTTTGTATTTGCCAGAAAAAAATTAAAGGTAGTTTCGGGATTGTTTTGCATGGTTATTCCATCTTGCTGCACTAGAGGGAAATAAAGGATATTCTGGCACCTCTTTGTTGGGGAGGGGGCAGCAGTCTTCAGTTTATCTTCAAAGGAAGCTTAGCAATATCCCTTAGAGCAGAGTTCCCCAACCTTGGCCACTTTGTAACTTGTGGACTTCAACTCCCAGAATTCCTCAGCCAACCATGCTGGCTGAGGAATTCTGAGAGTTAAAGTCCACAAGTCATAAAGTGGCCAAGGTTGAGGACCCCTGCCTTAGAGTACCAGATGGATTTCCATACTAGTTATAATTTCAGTGGTGCCTCATTTTGTTTCCCTTCTTCTGTCTAAACTTTTTTTCTTTTTTTTTGTTCGCAAGCCACTTTGATTGCAAGAATCGGGGTTTCTTTTTCAAGCGAGCTATAAGCCACTGTAGGACATATTGCAGTTTCATTACGACAGTGCAGTATGCATTGTTAAGAGAGAGGGAATTAAAAAGAACAAGGAAAAAAAATTCATCAGTTGAATGACAATTGCATCTTCTGCTCTCTAGGTTTTGTATGGTTTATTCAGAAGTGCCAAATTTCAGTGAGCCAAATCCTGATTATGTTGCCCAGCAGTCACAAAACAAAAATGTAAGTATAAGAATTGCCTTAGTTTGGTTTTTCTTAGTCACTGACTAGTGGGACTCAGAAATAGTGTAGGGGGGACATAAGCTTGGTCAGTGAAACTTTAAAGCTTTAAAACCTAACCATGAATGCTGTGTAGAGTAATAGATTGCTTCTAAACATATATATGTCTTTCTTGGAAAAAGTGGGCTGTTTTGTTTTCAAAATGGTGGAACCCAATTTCATCACTAGAGTGCTTTATGCAAATTAAGAAAAATCCAAGGATCTTTGTCTAACTAAACTGATGCTGAGGTGTGAAATAAAAGTTTATTGATGGATTTCATAAGCCTAAGAACCGTTCCTTGCCCAGTCGCAGGATGACTGTACTTTTCTTGCCTTTTCTTTTTTCTCAAGCAGAATCCTTTAAAAATATGCCTCTTGTGATAGATAACCACCTCTTGTTGCGTTTCTTCTCTTTTAAAATCCCGTGCTTGTTTTAGATTTTGTAGAAGTTGGGTTTTACATGTGCCTGTCAAGAGAAAGTTTCAGCAGGTGGCAGCATTGGCCCAACTTGGGAGTCAGAAACTAAACTAAAGGAGACTTGCTTATTATATGTATAGGACTCTCAACAACCAGTACTGGAGATATTGATTGAGCCAGGAAGTCAAAAAAGGAAAAAGGAATGATAAAGACCTCTTTAGTTCTGTTGACAGTGACATATACAAATGGTTGCCTCCATAACGTGCTCAGAAATCAGCCTCAACTGAGGGACCTTACACAACCTAATTACACAATCCAATCCAGGACAAGTGAGCCTGATGTTTTGGGCTTCACCCTCTGCTAGTCCCAACCAGGTCAGGGATTATGTAGATTCAGATCATCTAGAGCAGGGATGTCAAGCCGGATGCGTCACGCGGAAGCCGCGTCCACCCCAGCTCCAGCAAGGGGGAAAAAGTCGCGAGACATCGCAACACGTCACGTGACGCAGCGAGTTGGACACCTCTGATCTAGAGAAATGACTACAGAAGGTATCATGGACCTCAAGTGTCAGGCAAAACCAGGGATGCAAGTCCCACTCCTTTTATGTGCAAGCAATACATATAGTAGCCATTAAAAAGAGTCATGGCTTCAGTTATCTAGTTACACTAGCCATATTGAAGATACTGACCCTTCTCATACCCCAAGCTGGGTAGCCTATCCTGGCTTTCCTTTCAGAAAAAAAGGGATAATAAACTTTTCAGGTGTGTAACCTGAGAGAGTTCATACGTGTTTAAGAGACACCTTGATGAAATGTGAAGGGATAAGCAGGAGCTGAAGCGTTTCCCCTGCATGAGTTTTAAAAGAGTGGCATAGTGGTTGTGCTTTGGATTGCATTGAGGGAACCTGGACTGATGTCCCTCCTCACTCATGGAAACTAACCTGGTGGATTTATATATAGTCTCAGCCAAACATACCTCACTGAGTTATGGGAAGAAAATGAAGGGTGATCCCCATATTTCCAGCTTTCAGTTACTGGAGAAAATATGAGAATCAAATCTAACAAATAATGATACAAAATCTCAGGATATGTATTTGGCAAATTTATTGGTTGCCTGAATGGATCTAAATCACAAGTATGAGGAGGACTTTAAATGGGAGCAAATTTAGTGGCTAGTTGGCTGGAGCAAATTTAGTGGCTAGTCATCTCTCAGAAATATTTTACAGATAACATCTTAATAGATAACATCATGCCAGCCAGATCTTGTTGCTTTGTTGTGTAAAGATGTTTTTGTTTTGCAATGTAGTATAGTTTATGCCACCTATTCTTCTCCACCCACACTTAGAAATTCTGGGTAGATAGTTGGATTGGTTTCCTTCTCTGTTCTCTACCCCAGGGTCTTTTAAATCTAGATTTTCTGCATGGGTTAAAATAGTTGTTTTGGTTCTGTCTTATAGACCCCAAATGACAACGCAGCCCCCACAGCCTCTCAAACCACACCAGGACCTTCTACATCAGCAGGTAATACAACTGGATCCAAGCTAATGAGTGATAGGTCTGCTCTTGTCTTGATGACCTTCTGACAATCTGATTTATAGATTTATAAATAGGGTGGGCTAATTTATTGGCTGGTAGTGCATAAGCATGTAGCTGGGCTTGTATATAATATTGTATCATAAACTGGGACCTTTTGTTCCTTCTGCTCATTCATGTTGATTGGCTTGCACACATGTTAATTATAATATTATTTATTTGGTTTTAGCTTAAAGTTACATAGAGGTAGTCCTTGACTTACAACCATAGCAGAGTCCAAACTTTTGGTTGCTAAGCAATGCAGTTAAGTGAGTTATGCCTCATTTTGCGACCCTTTTTGCTACAGTTGTTAAGCAAATCATGCAGCCATTAAGCAATTCTGGCTTCTCCCATTGACTTTGCTTGTCAGAAGCCAGCTGGGAAGATTATAAATGGTGATCACCTGATCCCAGGACAATGCAACCCATCAAATAAATCCATGCCAGTTGCCAAGCACCCGAATCCTGATTGTGTGACCGTGGGGATGCTGGAACCATCGTAAATGTAAAAACGTTCACCAATCACTTTTTTCAGTGCTGTTCTAACTTCAATAGGTCACTAAACGAATGGTTGTAAGTCGAGGACTACCTGTATTAATTTAGATACCGTGGCTTATAAACTATGATTTATGACAATGTTACATGGGAATAAAATTAGTGCTTTGTATGGTCAACAAACCATATGTCAGTGCACTAGTCAGGAGGCCACATGAGTTCTCCCAGCATCTCAGGATTTTGTAGCAGAGAAGCCAGACTTCACTGGTACCATATTTATGCGGGGTTTTTGAAAATAAGGGTGGAGCAGGAAGGTCTCCAATCTTTAGCTGAGACTTCTTCTCCCAAACCCCCAAAGTGAGCTGAAATGGGACTATTAAAAGATGGCTGTGAAAGTTGGACCATAAGAAAAGCTGAGAGTCAAAGAATTGAGGCCTTTGAACTATGGTGCTGGAGAAGAGTCCTGCGAGTCCCCTGGACTGCAAGGCGATTAAAACGGTCAGTCCTAGAGGAGATCAACCCCGACTGCTCTTTAGTTGAAACTCAAATACTTTGGCCACCTAATGAGAAGGAAGGACTCACTGGAGAAGAGCCTGATGCTGGGAAAGATTGAGGGCAATAGAAGAAGGGGACGACAGAGAATGAGGTGGCTGGATGGAGTCACTGAAGCAGTAGGCGTCAGCTTAAATGGACTCCAGAAGATGGTAGAGGACAGGAAGGCCTGGAGGAACGTTATCCATGGGGTCGCGATGGGTCGGACACGACTTCGCAACTAACAACAACAACGATTCTTGGCTGTTGGGAAGTTCTTCATGGTAGAAATGGAGCACTTTACCTTCAAGAAGCTTCCTGTGGCCATCCCTCCCTTCCTTTATTATCTCTCCTTGGAAAACGCAGAAAAATGAGCAGAAGGGTATTATGATGATCCCTGGAGGCTTTCATCTGCTCAGGGGAGTACGTTGCTGCCCCTGAACAGGCTGCCTATCCCTGCTTAGCATGATGTCAATCTCAACTTTGGGCTAGTCTTCCTTTGATTGGCAGGAGTCATATAGAAATGTGGCCCAGAGGCCATGGTCTCATTGCCTAGTGATTTACTGCAAACTTGTAGAAATCCCTCCTTGGAGAATCATCTGCCAGAAGATCTAGCATTTCTTCTCCAATCAATGAAATAAAACCCAGTTCCAAAATCAAGTTGCCACAAGGCAAAAACCAACAAGCAAATGTATCTCCATTTGGCTTCTTTACCTTTTCACTTATTTTTTTGGGTGGTGGTGGTGGTAATTTTTCTTGCTCATACTCCTTTGGTCTCCGTTGGGTCCTTGTCTGAGGAACTCAGTATAGGATATGTAGCGACAAATCTTTCATTTTAAGTCTGGTTTTCAAGATTACACTGAATTTTGTAGCTTCGTTGATCTTGTTTCACTCATATCTTTCTATGTTCCTTTATGTTATTTGGCTTTAGCTGCAGAGAACCAGAATGGCAATGGGTTGATCTCCTCTGGAGGTGCTCTGCACCAACCCAGCATCTCAACCCATCCTACCACCAGTCGCATCACTAGGAGTCAACCCAACCATCAAGGTGGAAGCTCATCAAGTCTAGGGTCCTCCTCAAACCCAGTCAGCAATGGCAAAGAGACGCGGAGAAGTAGCAAGAGATAGCAGGGGCTGTGGGTTCAGGAAAGTTTTGGATACCTCTTTCCTCCACTGCCTGCAATACTACTTTGTGCCTCCTTCTGAGGCAAAACAGCTGCTGCTGAGGTGAAGACATGGATACTAGGCTGGAGTAGAGACTCTGGGAACAACATAACGTTTAACCACTGAAATGTATTTTTAACATGGGGTATTATGATTGGGTGAGAGAGATACAGTTTTCAGTGTTTTTACTGAAAAGCTCGTCTTGCCTTTTAGGAATCTTCAAATATTATAAATTGCACTCATTTTTTGCTGGAAATCAATACAAGTGACCTGCCATCTGTTTATTTGATAGTATTTGGTTCCTGTCCATTATCCTCCCAGATAATAAGCTTCTGTGAGTTGGGCATGAGTTTTTGCATTTAGCTCTTTTTAGTTTAGGTCTGCACTTCTTAAAACTCTTTACTTAATCTTTTTAGTCTACAAATTGGAATGAATATGGTTCATAACTTCCCAAGGAAGTGCAGCTGGGCAACAAGAACTGATGCCATGCTTTCCCGAACAACCTTAGGACTGGCCATTAACAGAGCCTTGTCATGTCCAAGAGCCCTGGTGGCGTAGTGATTAGAATACAGTATTGCAGGCTAACTCTGCCCACAGTCTGGAGTTTGATCCTGACGGGCTCAAGGTTGACTCAGCCTTCCATCCTTCTGAGGTCAGTAAAATGAGCCAGACTGTTGGGGGCCATAGGCTGATGTTGTAAACCTCAACCCCCAGGTAACAGCTCACTACTACCCATGGCCTATTTGGAACCAGGCTGCATGATTGGCAAGCAGCACGCACGCGTGTGCGCAGCTTGACTTGCATGAGTGGTGGTTCAGCGCACACGTACACGTGTGCACACTTCAACTTGCGCAAGTTGAGCTGTGCGCGCATGCGTGTGCGTGCTGGCCTACAGCTTGCGCAAGTTGAGCTATGTGTGTGCACTAACCCACTGTTTGCACGGCCCAGTTCCCCTCTCATCTCCCCCAGCTGGGCAGCCAAGCCACAAAGATTGGGGACCGCTGCTATAAAGCTCTATGGGGCGATATATAAGTCTTAGGTGCTAGTGCTATTGCTACAGCTATTTCCCCCAAAAGTGACACTATAATTTACAGCAAACTTTAGAGAGGTTTCTGAAAACAACATGGTAAAAGTACAGCAAAATTAGATTAAACAATAGATTAATCTTTGTTTCAAAATCCTAGCTTTTAATTGTTATGAAAGTCAATGGTTTTTAAGCATACATTATTGTGCTGAGATCTTGAAATCTTTTACATTCCAGTAGAACATAGAATAATTCAGGCTAATTCTGTCCACTGCCAGGAGTTCGATTCTGACTGGCTGAAAATTGACTCAGCCTTCCATCCTTCCAAGGTCGGTAAAATGAGGGCCCAGATTGTTGGGGGCAATATGCTGACACTGTAAACTGCTTAGAGAGGGCTGTAAAGCACTGTAAAGCAGTATATAGGTCTAAGTGCTATTGCTATAATAGGGTTGAAAGGGACCTCAGAGGTCTTTTACTCCAGCCCCCTACCCAAGCAGGAGACCCCATATCAGAGGCTGTTTAGATTGAGCTTCCTGACTATAGTCCAGGGGTCTTCAAACCTGGCCCTTTTATGACTTGTGGACTTCAACTCCCAGAATTCCTCAGCCAGCGAGCCTGGCTGAGAAATTCTGGGAGTTGAAGTCCACAAGTTTAAAAGGGCCAGGTTTGAAGACCCCTGGACTATAGTCACTGCTTCTATTTTGCATCTTCATGCACACAGCCAAGTGAAAGATAATGTCTGTTTATTTTTGAACTGGAAGACCTATACAGATTACGAATGCCAATCAGAATCTTTTGACATTGTAAGAGTCCTATGGGGCATATTTCATGTGTATTTTAATTTAATATCTCTTTCCATATGCATAATTAGAAAACATAAGGGGCTAGCCTAGGCCAAAATTCTGCAAAGCTTGCAGGAAGCTATATATTATCTGGCTCTCGTTTATTTGAAGAAATGTTAAAATCAGCCTTTATCTCAAATAGATCTAAGCATTTTAAAAGGAAGAGAGTGGTCTTTACCCTGAAACTGTTGCCAAAGTTACAACCATTTTAATGCTAATAAAACATCAGAAGGAATGTCTTACTTTTTCCTTGTTATTATGAATAAATGACAGCTGCTTAAACATTTAAATGTTTTGAAATGCTTGGTTATGTAGTTGTTTGGCTACTGCCCCACGTTTTTGCTCCTTTTCCATTGCTCCCCTTTCCAAAATAATTGCTTGAATTAATTTTTAAAAGAACTTCATTGTTTACTCTAGCGTGGTGTGGTTATTGAATGTACTATATGAACAATAACATCTATGAATAGTTGGGGAATACATTTTAATCTTCTTATTCTTTGAGTTTCTCCATGAAGTGCAAATGCTTAATGAGATGAAACTGTGGATTAGAAGGCTTAATACTTATAAGCCAAAGGCAAATAGATATATATTATATATGTAATTGTATAATTACCTGATATGAGAGCTAATTTAACATTAGATAACTCAAGATAAATAACGTAAGTCAGATGCAGTCCGTGTTCTTGTTTGTCTCAGTTCTTTTGTTCCTTCTGAAACTGATGCCATCTTGCCAAAATTGTTTTCCTCTCCTCTCACAGTCTGAAATATCAAACTGGCGTTTCCTTTTCAGATGAAAATATATTGTGCTGGTTGTCTGAAGAAAATCCATGATTTGGTTATTGGAAAAGTAAGTAAAAAAAATAAATGTAAGATTATTGGTAGTAAATGAAAATCTTGGAGTTGAGAGTTTTGCGTGGCCAATGCTGTATTGAAGACTTGGAAGATCAAGCATAGATTTATAAATTATTTATTTGGGGGTAAATATTAGATTGTTTAACAATTACTGTACTTTGAAATTAGGAGAGTAGCAGTGTAATTTTGGTAAGTTAATACTTTACAGTACTTCTCCATTTTTCTTTGAACTAGAAGAAGCAGCAGACTGTAGAAATATGGAATATTTTAGGGTTTCAGCACAGTTACTGTAGACTTTAATACTATTATTAGCCTATGCACTCATTCCTGTAAAAAGAAAATGAAGAGTATATTGCCTTACCTGCAGAAAACTGCTATAATGAGGAAAATAAATCTTTGTGGTTTATATGTAAAATATCCATCCCTCTCCATCCACTCGAATAAGCAGTTGAATGAACTTTCTGTTAGAACCAAGTTTCTAAAATAATTTTAAAACATACAAATCAAGGCAAGTTTTTTTAAACCTTGGCTCAAATTGGTACAATGGAGACTGTACGCAAATATATTAGTCACATACAACAGTTCGCTCAGATGCAGAAGTTGAGTCACCTACATATTGTTATACTGCCTAATGTCCCAATCATTGTGTCTAGTAGCATGTGGGATTGCAAAATCCCGGGGTCCTGCGCCTGCAGGATGAACTTATTCCTCTCCAGAGGAATGGACTGGTGATGTACGTTGGCCTAAACCAACGGGCCTTGCTTTAGTTTAGGAAACACACGGACAACATGCTTCTTCAGGTGAGATGGCAGGCAAAAGACGCTGAAGCCTCTCCGTGCCTCTCTTTTATTGGTACATTAGCATAATCAAGGGGGGGGTGTACAAAAGGACAATAGGGGGATGGCTCTTCATTGCCATACACAAAGAACAGGAAACTTAAGTCAAGGAGGTACTAATTCAAGGTAAGCTTTTCAGGAGAAATGAAACTTAAGTCAGGAAACGAAACCTAAGGCAGGCAGGTNGGTTCAGGAAAGTTTTGGATACCTCTTTCCTCCACTGCCTGCAATACTACTTTGTGCCTCCTTCTGAGGCAAAACAGCTGCTGCTGAGGTGAAGACATGGATACTAGGCTGGAGTAGAGACTCTGGGAACAACATAACGTTTAACCACTGAAATGTATTTTTAACATGGGGTATTATGATTGGGTGAGAGAGATACAGTCTTCAGTGTTTTTACTGAAAAGCTCGTCTTGCCTTTTAGGAATCTTCAAATATTATAAATTGCACTCATTTTTTGCTGGAAATCAATACAAGTGACCTGCCATCTGTTTATTTGATAGTATTTGGTTCCTGTCCATTATCCTCCCAGATAATAAGCTCTTGTGAGTTGGGCATGAGTTTTTGCATTTAGCTCTTTTTAGTTTAGGTCTGCACTTCTTAAAACTCTTTACTTAATCTTTTTAGTCTACAAATTGGAATGAATATGGTTCATAACTTCCCAAGGAAGGGCAGCTGGGCAACAAGAACTGATGCCATGCTTTCCCGAATAACCTTAGGACTGGCCATTAACAGAGCCTTGTCATGTCCAAGAGCCCTGGTGGTGTAGTGATTAGAATGCAGTATTGCAGGCTAACTCTGCCCACAGTCTGGAGTTTGATCCTGACGGGCTCAAGGTTGACTCAGCCTTCCATCCTTCTGAGGTCAGTAAAATGAGGAGCCAGACTGTTGGGGGCCATAGGCTGATTTTGTAAACCTCAACCCCCAGGTAACAGCTCACTACTACCCATGGCCTATTTGGAACCAGGCTGCATGATTGGCAAGCAGCACGCACGCGTATGCGCAGCTTGACTTGCATGAGTGGTGGTTCAGCGCACATGTACACGTGTGCACACTTCAACTTGCGCAAGTTGAGCTGTGCACGCATGCGTGTGCGTGCTGGCCTACAGCTTGCGCAAGTTGAGCTATGTGTGTGCACTAACCCACTGTTTGCACGGCCCAGTTCCCCTCTCATCTCCCCCAGCTGGGCAGCCAAGCCACAAAGATTGGGGACCGCTGCTATAAAGCTCTATGGGGCGGTATATAAGTCTTAGGTGCTAGTGCTATTGCTACAGCTATTTCCCCCAAAAGTGACACTATAATTTACAGCAAACTTTAGAGAGGTTTCTGAAAACAACATGGTAAAAGTACAAAATCCTAGCTTTTAATTGTTATGAAAGTCAATGGTTTTTAAGCATACATTATTGTGTTGAGATCTTGAAATCTTTTACATTCCAGTAGAACATAGAACATAGAATAATTCAGGCTAATTTTGTCCACTGCCAGGAGTTCGATTCTGACTGGCTGAAAATTGACTCAGCCTTCCATCCTTCCAAGGTCGGTAAAATGAGGGCCCAGATTGTTGGGGGCAATATGCTGACACTAAACTGCTTAGAGAGGGCTGTAAAGCACTGTAAAGCAGTATGTAAGTCTAAGTGCTATTGCTATAATAGGGTTGAAAGGGACCTCAGAGGTCTTTTACTCCAGCCCCCTACCCAAGCAGGAGACCCCATATCAGAGGCTGTTTAGATTGAGCTTCCTGACTATAGTCCAGGGGTCTTCAAACCTGGCCTTTTTATGACTTGTGGACTTCAACTTCCAGAATTCCTCAGCCAGCGAGCCTGGCTGAGGAATTCTGGGAGTTGAAGTCCACAAGTTTAAAAGGGCCAGGTTTGAAGACCCCTGGACTATAGTCACTGCTCCTATTTTGCATCTTCATGCACACAGCCAAGTGAAAGATAATGTCTGTTTATTTTTGAACTGGAAGACCTATACAGATTACGAATGCCAATCAGAATCTTTTGACATTGTAAGAGTCCTATGGGGCATATTTCATGTGTATTTTAATTTAATATCTCTTTCCATATGCATAATTAGAAAACATAAGGGGCTAGCCTAGGCCAAAATTCTGCAAAGCTTGCAGGAAGCTATATATTATCTGGCTCTCGTTTATTTGAAGAAGTGTTAAAATCAGCCTTTATCTCAAATAGATCTAAGCATTTTAAAAGGAAGAGAGTGGTCTTTACCCTGAAACTGTTGCCAAAGTTACAACCATTTTAATTCTAATAAAACATCAGAAGGAATGTCTTACTTTTTCCTTGTTATTATGAATAAATGACAGCTGCTTAAACATTTAAATATGTTTTGAAATGCTTTGTTATGTAGTTGTTTGGCTACTGCCCCACGTTTTTGCTCCTTTTCCATTGCTCCCCTTTCCAAAATAATTGCTTGAATTAATTTTTAAAAGAACTTCATTGTTTACTCTAGCGTGGTGTGGTTATTGAATGTACTATATGAACAATAACATCTATGAATAGTTGGGGAATAAATTTTAACCTTCTTATTCTTTGAGTTTCTCCATGAAGTACAAATGCTTAATGAGATGAAACTGTGGATTAGAAGGCTTAATACTTATAAGCCAAAGGCAAATAGATATATATTATATATGTAATTGTATAATTACCTGATATGAGAGCTAATTTAACATTAGATAACTCAAGATAAATAACGTAAGTCAGATGCAGTCCGTGTTCTTGTTTGTCTCAGTTCTTTTGTTCCTTCTGAAACTGATGCCATCTTGCCAAAATTGTTTTCCTCTCCTCTCACAGTCTGAAATATCAAACTGGGGTTTCCTTTTCAGATGAAAATATATTGTGCTGGTTGTCTGAAGAAAATCCATGATTTGGTTATTGGAAAAGTAAGTAAAAAAAATAAATGTAAGATTATTGGTAGTAAATGAAAATCTTGGAGTTGAGAGTTTTGCGTGGCCAATGCTGTATTGAAGACTTGGAAGATCAAGCATAGATTTATAAATTATTTATTTGGGGTAAATATTAGATTGTTTAACAATTACTGTACTTTGAAATTAGGAGAGTAGCAGTGTAATTTTGGTAAGTTAATACTTTACAGTACTTCTCCATTTTTCTTTGAACTAGAAGAAGCAGCAGACTGTAGAAATATGAAATATTTTAGGGTTTCAGCACAGTTACTGTAGACTTTAATACTATTATTAGCCTATGCACTCATTCCTGTAAAAAGAAAATGAAGAGTATATTGCCTTACCTGCAGAAAACTGCTATAATGAGGAAAATAAATCTTTGTGCTTTATATGTAAAATATCCATCCCTCTCCATCCACTCGAATAAGCAGTTGAATGAACTTTCTGTTAGAACCAAGTTTCTAAAATAATTTTAAAACATACAAATCAAGGCAAGTTTTTTTAAACTTGGCTCAAATTGGTACAATGGAGACTGTACGCAAATATATTAGTCACATACAACAGTTCGCTCAGATGCAGAAGTTGAGTCACCTACATATTGTTATACTGCCTAATGTCCCAATCATTGTGTCTAGGAGCACTCATAAACCCAATTATCAGAAATGTTGATTTTTCTCTCTGATCAAGAAATTGCAATCTTTTTAAAGACTTTACGTGGAAATTGCAATAAAACTTGCCAAATTTCTAGTAATAACTATGGTTTTCAGAAATCTCTTTGAGATCCTTTTCAAATTATTGTTTCAGGTTTGGGGGTGTTTGTATTCTAAATTTTGCACGTTATGGTGATGGGCTGGATGCCAAAACAAAGCAAGATTAGGCATACACTTCAAAAGAGTCCACGAAGTCTGTAATTGGGGAATTAGTCTGGTAAGAACAAAGAATGCTTATTCACAGGGAATATGCACGTGTAAAGCTTGTAATAATTCTGGGTGGTTAGAGGACTGATAAAAGTAATGAAGAGCTACGCATTTTGCAGACTCAGCTAAAAGTTAGGAATAGGGAGGGCCTGGAACAAATAGGATGTGTATTACATAACTCCTGAAGCTTTCATTAGCCAAGGCTTAGGAATAGGGACGGCTAGGGACGGCTAGAGACTAATAGAATAATTGTTAGATTATTACTGAAATGTTTATTAGATGATACTTCTTATCTATCCCACCTTATCCCGCCTTCTGCTTTAGAGAAAATGTACAAAGCTTTCTTAATTCTGTGGCTTGAGGTTCTTGGAGCGCTTCAATAAAAGACAACAAAACCTGCACCTCGTGTCTGGTGTTCTTCATCGGCCTCAGCACCAGGCTCAGACCCGAATTGGGGACACCACCGTATTTATTGGTCATGATTGGATTTGCTATTTCAGTCAAGCAAATGGCCATGAGTGCTGGTAGGGTTAAGATAGTCACACCAGCTTTCTCTACCTGCTGGCAAACAGGTTGTATTCTCACTCATGCAACTATAGACTGGTGGATATGTAGTGCCTATGTCATCTTTTCTATTTTTACGGGTGAGAGAAGTTAGCAGTTAAGGCAGTGTTTCTCAACCTTGACAATTTTAAGGCATGTGGACTTCAACTCCCAGAATTCCACAGCCAGCATTGCTGGCTGTGGAATTCTGGGAGTTGAAGTCCACATGCCTTAAAATTGTCAAGGTTGAGAAACACTGAGTTAAGGAGATACTTTGGGGACATCTGAGCACACCCCCTGTCGTCCTTCAAGGTACAGCCTTTTACCAACCTAGCCCCGCCTATCACTGCCACTTTGCTGCTTTGCTTGCCACGTGGGCCGGGGGGGGGGCTTGAAGGGTCCTTTTGAAAAAAACGAGTCGGCTTAGAAGCGCCTGCGCTTAAAATAGGCTGCTCTCAGGGTCTCACAAGTGGGTGTTGAAAGAAGAAGAGTGGAGCAGAGATTAGGAGTGGTTGTTTCCAAGCGCGACCGAGGAAATGAAATCAGTTCGTGGGGAAAAAAAACCAGGCGGATGTTAGCCACCCCGGAGGGAAGAAGACTGGGAAAGCGCCTCTAACCGGCACTGAGTAGGGGACTCGGGAGCGCGAGGGTCCGCTGTGGGGGACGCCGGTGAGAGCTAAACAGCGGGAGCGATGAGCTTGGAAACGGGGCACCTAATCTAGGGAGAAGTAATAGGGGGGTAGCGCTTACAAGTTGATGTAACGAAGTGAGTAAGTGTAGACGTTTCTGGTTCTGAATTCGGCTGTGCCACGCAGGGCACCGAATGCCTTTGGCAAGGCGGCGGGGCTCTGAAGTTTGGCTCCCGATTTGCACACTGGGGACGAATAATAGTGGCCTGTCTTTAAGAGTTGTTGTTTCTAAAGATCATTGAGATAATATATGCAAAATAGTTGGAATACATATATAAGCGGTGCTTCTGTTATGAACACGTGAGCACTCAACCCTAAACTCGAATTTCGAGAGAGATATTAGATTGCAAATTTCATCCTGACTCGTGGACGTGCTGGTTGAAATTAACGGGCTGTCTGTTATCCAAAGTCTGGAGAAAATCTCTGGCAAAAACACCGATACTGGATAGCAATCCAAGAATGCAAGAATAGAAGTAATATTTTCAGTGTTGGGAGGGGGGGAATTGGGAATTGCTGTAAAAAAAGAACAAAAATGGCAAATTATCAATGTTTTGATAGCATAATTTGTCCCTAAATATCTTAATTATCTAGTTGCCTGCAAACCCTGTCCAATGTCTTTCCTTAACTTACTAATAAAATACATGCTAGAATTACCAAGCTTGGTGGTGAGAATTTAATTTGTCCTTGAGTGTGAGTCAAGCTACATGTATGATTCAACTCTGGCTTTAACTCAGACATTTTTATCAAGATAAATAAACAGTAGCAGCCAAAAAGTGCAAGTAAGAGCTTTGAGGTTTAGGACTCACCAGTTACACTTCAGACTGCACTTTTCAGCATCCCCAATTAAAAAACAATGTCTATGTGTAGAAATAAAATGCACCTAAGAAATCTTGCTACCTCTGTGATGTGCTTCTTTCCTCCACATTGTAAAAAAGCATGTGCATCTAAACTGGTGTAGTTCTATGATGAAACTTGGTTTAGGGTGAGTTAGATTATTATGAGGTTCAACAAATTTGGTGGTTAGGGGTCTACAAAGTGGATCATGGCAGCTGAAAAATGGGAAGATCATAGAAATCAGTGAATAAATTAGGAAAGAATAAAGTAATTGAAGATTTCATTTGAAGACCCAGTAATGTTTAGTAACTGAGATGTATTCTGGATCATTCTTTGCTAGGCTTTAATTGATTTGATAAGCATGAATATTACCTTCAGTGGGCTCTCTTCTGTTTGGAAACAGTTTAACAGCTGTTAAAATATGAAAATGTTTACTATATTTACCAAATACATTTTGTCCTTCATTTTTTTATATGTTAGGCATATACCAAAAAGAGAGATTACTTTTAATTTGATTCTCTATAGAAAGCATAGCAAGCTAGCAAACATTTTATAGTTCTGACTACTATATTTAAATATAAGCAAATAACTGGGAACCTGCAGTTCTAATTGCTGCCTTTTGGCCTGTTGCACAAAAGGTACTTTGTATTCTATACCTGAACTCAATGACTAACTGCTATCTTTCACAATGCAGCTTTGTATAATAAATGGTACTAGAGTCTGGCTGAGTACAGGCATTGATCTGATATTTTAACTCATGCATATATTGTACTTGTGTTTTGTGAGATGAGGATGAGATGCTGAGGCCTTGCAGAAGCTTGCTTTTGGGTTAAGGATCCTTTCCCCCCCCCCAAAAAAAGAGCATTCATGCATCTTGAACTTAACATCTAACTTTGCAGGTTGCTTGCCCATACCTAGAAAGATGAATGATTGGATTTCAAGCACTGTCTGCCTGTTATTGTTATTGAGTAGTGTTTGCGCCCAGAAGAGCCAAGATCTCCGCTGTGGAGGTAAACTAAGCTATTTTTTAAAATTAATGAGTTGATAGAGTACTTAAACATTTTAAAACAGAAAAAAATTTACTGTGGCTTTTAAAATGTGCATCTTCTGGAAAATATTTTCACACTGACTATTAAGGAATACCAGGGCTGCTTGGTTGAATTATATTTTTGAGTGAAGAGGTGTCACTTCTGTGTGTGTGTGTTTGTGTATATATTACATGTTATTCTCTCATTGTTCTATTCAGGATGTGGTTATTACCTTTAAAGCCCTATGGCATGGGTTCAGGATATCTGAGGTCTTGCCCCATTTACTCCAGTGAAGGAGGCTTGTTGTGGCCCCCTTTGGCAAACACCTCCCTTCGACCAGTCCGCTCCCACAGAGAGGGCCTCCTTAGAGTGCCGTCAGCCAGACAATGCCGGCTGGCGACCCCCAGGGGGAGAGCCTTCTCTGTGGCAGCTCCTGCCCTCTGGAATGACCTACCCCCCTGACCTACGTACAATTGCGGACCTGCGCCTTTTTCGCCGAGCCCTGAAGGCCCATCTATTCCGTGCGGCCGGCCTGGCGTAGTTTGATTATGTTTTAGTGGGGGTTTTGTATGGGGTGTTTTTAGAACAGGCCTGTTATTTAATTTGATTTTAGCACAGAAACTATTTATTTATTATTGTGGTTTTTATTATCGCCTGTTCACCGCCCTGAGTCCCGTAAGGGAGATAGGGCGGTATATAAATTTAATAAATAAATAAATAGAGTCTAGGAGAAAAGACTTTTCCACTGTGGCCCCTGTCCTTTGGAAGATTCTGCACTGGAGATGAGATCCGCCTCCATCTTTCTGGCTATCTAGAAGGGCCTTAATACCTGGCTCTGCCAGCTGGCTTGAGGCTCCAATAGGGATGCTATGTGTTGGAAGTGGTTGACAGGGTAAGACCCCATCCCTATGCTATCCGTCTCCTTGGTTTTTAGTCTCTAATTCTCATTAATTTTAACTGTTCATATCTACCTTTTTATCATTTTGTAAGTTACCCAGAGTCCCTCTGAAACCGGCAGCATGTAAATTCAATAAATAAATTAATAAATTGTTATGTGGAAATAGAAGGTTGACTCAAGATATTATAATAGAAGATAGAAAAGGATGGCACAGAGCTTAGCCTAACTCTTAGCAGTTTCTCATCTAGTCCCTGGAGTTCTCTCTTGTCCTAAAAAACATCATTTGATACGCATCTTACTTTATTTGCAGCAAAATATATTCCTCTGCTTATACAAATATGCACTTAAGCTGTTTGCTCATGGACCAGAGGCTGAGATAGCTGAGCAAATGCATTATTAAAAATCTTTGGCCCATATCTTATGACTGAATAGGTAACATGCTACATTAAACCAAAACCTTGTTACAATCTACTGACAGAAAAGGGTTAAAAAGCCTTGTGCCTTATGTCTTCACTTATGCTAGAATGAATTTACTTGGCAGGGCTAGTAGAATTTATCTTCAGTCCTTGCTTTCCTTCTCCTAGATAAATTCTTCTTTAAAGCCTAATGCTTCCCTCAGACAATAGTCTCTCCCATCTAATTGCAGAATTATTTCCCCATTTTTCTTTGTAGACTAAACAGTTGGCTTTCATTCGAATTCTGCATGGCATATACAAAAAGGCTGCTGAAAACTGGCTTCCAAATAACTGTTTGAGGTCACTAGATAGTGCCAATGATGTGACTTAACAGCAGAACTGCATATCATTTCTTGTAGTTGGTTGCACACTGGACGTTTTATGCCATTTGAAACATATTTTCCTCTTAACTAGGAAGCCGTAACCGGGAACTGATGTTCTGCAATACTTGGAGAGCTGTAGGTTGCTTAGTTCTACATATGTGCAGAAGTATTTCTTTTAACTTGAGAAGCAAGATTATTAGACCTATGCTAGAAAATACCTTCAGGAAGGGATCATATTAACACCATCCTTTTCCTGCTATTCCTTTTGTCTTGCATCCTAGCTCCTGATTTAAAGCATTATATGTTATAATCCTGCTTGCTTATTAGTAGAAGAAAAGAAGAGTAGGAAAAGGAACTTACTTCATCTAGTAGTTAAGATGCTGGCCTAGAAACCAGGAGTTTCTAGAAACTAGCTCCCCCCCCCACACTTAACCATGAAAGCTGGCAGGGTGACTTTGGGCCAGGCATTACCTCTCAGCCCAATCCACCTCACAAAGTTATTGTTGTTTTGGAGAAAATAGGAGGTAGGACTATTAGGTATGTTAGTGCCTTGAGTTAACCAGAATATATGTATGTTGATAAAAATATAGTAATAATAATAAAAATAACATTGCAATTGGTACTGAAGGCAAAGAAGAATTTGGCTATCTAACTCCTTTCTTGCTGTCTATATTTCCTTTTCTGACATAGACTCTAAATTCTTTGCTGAGGTTACTACTAAATACATTTGTTACTAGGCATAGACACAGTCCCTAGCAATGATTCCATCTTCAGCATGCTGTGTTATAAATAATGCATTTGTTCAGCTGCCAAATGCCGAAGAGCGTTCTTAGCATCAGAGGAAAATCATGGAGTTAATGCCTAAGTGATGGCTAGCTAGAAAGAAGAAAAAGAAAGAAAGGTTAAAATGGGACAGATGGTCATTTGACTGACAATTAATGAGAAGGAAAAGCTGCTTTGAAATTTAGTTTAATCTGAGTTTGCTAACACTAATTTACTCTCCTTTGTTCATTTGCTGAGATCTTCAGCTGTGATTATAGGTTTGTAAAAGATCTGGTGATTCAGTCCAGCACCACAAAAAATGGAAATAAATTGTGAACGTATGGAAAATCCTTATTAAAATTGTCCCTTAACTGTTCTATAGATAACTGTATTGTTCTTGATAAATAATCATCTCACTGATTCCTAAATGATGTTTGCTTTTAGCATGCCGGGCTCTGGTGGATGAGCTGGAATGGGAAATATCTCGAGTAGATCTGAAAAAAACTATCCAAGTAGGCTCCTTCCGCATTAATCCTGATGGAAGCCAGTCCATAGTAGAGGTAATACATTCCATACTTGACATAGATTAGTTGAATCTTTGAAAACTTCCATTACAATTGCTGAAATGGGCAAACTGTGAAATGGTTAAAAAGCTCATGTGAGGGAAAATTTTAAATTTCTGATGAAAGAGTTTTAGAGTTTCTTTTTACCATGGTTTCCCCTGCCAATGTCATACCCAATATATTGTGAATGATATAATTAAGAGCTTTTCTTTTTATTTCAATACTAGCTGTACCCGGTCACGTGTTGCTGTGGCTCAGTCTGGTAAAAGCGTGTGTTGCTTTTACGTCCAACAGATGGCACTGTTTTTCACAAAAAGCATGTTTTTACCTGTCACAGGTGTGACATCTATATAATATAGGTATATAACAACACACGCGTATTTGAATGCAACGTTGTGTCAAAATTTCAAAGCAATCAGTGAAGAACTTTCGGAGATTTAAGATTTTGAACAAACGAACATTTACATTTTTATTTATATAGATTGATGAAAATATTGGAGCACCATCCAATAATTATAGTCAGAAGATTATATCATACTGTAAACATATAGTAACCTACAGTCAAAACAGTGGATTAAAATTTAGTGGTCCATTGTCTACTAAAAACAATTACAGCTGCAAAAATAATAAGTAAAGTTAAGACATTATTTTACTTATGAAGTATCTGATGATTATTCTTCTATAGCATTTGTGAGAGTTTTCTAATATTTACAGATCATACTTTGTATCTCCTGTGCCAGACTGAAGAAGGATTTGCAGTTGTCTCTGATAGACAGGGAGAGCTTCTGTCATCTATTTAAAGGAAGTATTAATTTGCTCTTAGGTGCCCTATGCCAGATCTGAGGCTCACCTGACGGAGTTGCTGGAGAACATCTGTGAAAACATGAATAACTATGGTGAGAAGGTGGATCCTTCAACTCACAGGAAGAATTATGTCAGAGTGGTCTCCTTTGATGGGACCAAGATGGATCTTTCTGAAACCAAATATGATGGTGATGTGACATCAAGCTTGAAGTTTGCAGTAAGTGATCCAGAAGGCAAAGCTAGATTAGGAAAGATGTCCTTTCTTTTAGAATGATGCTCCTAATTGTGACGTATCACTTTTCTGTACAGCCACACATTAGACCAGGAGAGGCATCTTAGCTCATTATTCTGTTCTAACAGTGGACAACCAGATACCTACAGAAACATATGAGTGAGACATAAATGCAAACATTCTCTTGTAGTAATTATTCAGTACAATCCAGTAGATGTTCTCCTTAACTTTACCAGCAACTGCTAATGAAAGACAAGCTTCACAGCTTAGTGAGAAATTGTTGAACTTGCATGCATAAGATTTCAGAAGAACTCGAAAAGACACAATGGATTTTTAACCTTCTGCCTTTCTTTATTTGATTACTTTACTTGTAATCTGTCTCAATGTAAACTGTAGCTGTATAACCATTCCCCATTTCATCCCAGTTTATATTTTACAACAGTCTAGCTATTTATGCATCTGGTGAAGTGAGTGCAACTTATGAAAGCTTATGCCTTGGCTTATGCCATAGACCAGACATGTCAAGCTCGGACACGTCACGTGACGTCGCGAGATATATCGGGAGTGTTTTGCCATTGCCGGCAATGGGGTTGGCGCAGCTTCCAGATGATGCGTCCAGCCCGTGGGCCGGCAGTTTGACACCCCTGCCATAGACTAACACAGTGGTTCTCAACCTGTGGGTCGGGACCCCATTTGGGGTCGATCGACCATTTCACGGGGGTCGCCAAGCAAGGCTGTCTGCCATTTTTTTTGTCCATTTTTTTCCCCTTTTCCGGCGGGTGCCTTACCTCCCTTGGGCTGGGCCAGCTGGTGGTCGGCCTGCTCCGTCTCTGCCGCTTGCCAGCTACGCCTCGGCCGGCGCAGGGAGCGGAACCACGCATGTGCGGCGCTCCCGGGCAGGGAAAGTCCTCGACTTACGACCGGTTGGGTAGCCCTCGACTTACGACTGGTTTAGTCCTTGACTTACGACCGGTTTAGTCCTCGACGTATGACCGGTTTAGTCCTCGACTTACGACCGGTTGGGGTCGCGGCATTAAAAAGGTTGAGAACCACTGGACTAACAGTTTTCCTCTTATGAGATCTTAGTAGTGAAGGGTTATGATGACAAACAGGTGACATGCTATTTATAACTTTATGGCTATAGCCAAATTCTGGTTGCATGTTGTGAAAGATAGATTGAGGAAGCAACATTGATTTCTGAGGCATTGCTGAACTCCATAGTAGTCTGTGGTTCACATGCAGAATAGCCCTACGAAAATACAAGTATATCTTAGGAGGAGCTTTATAAAATGACAGGGCCATCTCCTTTCCCTTCTGCCTCTAAAACTTTTGGAATTTTTTCCTTGCATAAATCAAGAGCTACATGATTGTCAGTCTTTTTCTTAGCATTGCTGTTTCTTAAAAGCTCTGCCTGCTTCAAGAAAGTTGGTTCAGAAAATGTAAGAGCATAACACCGCTTTAACATAGCCAAAGTTGAAAATTATGTAGCTGCTTTAATCAGCCAATTCATTAAGGTGGCCATGTCCTTGATGCAACTTCTGCGTGGAAGCCTAAAAAAAAGACACAGCTGATTTAGCTGTACTCCTGTTCTTGTGTGCTGACGCACATTTTCCAAATCATTTTCTAAGCATACACAATCTTATTGCCCATGTGTTCTGTGGTTGTTCTGTTGTCGAGGGAAATTTGGAGAGTTGTGAAGACATACATATTTGACTTCCACATATAATTAATGGGATTGCATCAAGAAAGTCAGAATAACCTGTTGATAGCTTCTGAAAAGAATAGGTTGTATTATGCCAATTAACTACCTCCCCTTCCTCCCAATGAACTGTGTTTTCTCTCTAGTGCAGTTTGGCAGAAGGAGTGAGTTGTGGCAATTGCCTTGAGTTGAGTTGGTCTAGGTTTGCTGGGCTTCAAAATTGGCTTAATTGGCCAATAGACCTGGGAGAATAAGAAGCAGAGGTATGAAAAAGCTGCTCATTGAATTCCTTGGTTCTCACAGTGCGAGAAAATAGCTGAAGAGTACGAAGATGAGCTCATAGAATTCTTTTCCCACGAGGCAGAAAATGTCAAGGACCGGCTGTGCAGCAAACGAACAGGTAAGCACAGAATCAGAAGCACTGTTGAGTTTTAAAAAATATGCTCTGTCATGGCTTTATTTGACCATCTGTGGGGTATATAAGGCAGAAACCGGTCTGTAGTCTTTCACTTATTGGCAGATTAAAAGCATGCTAATCGGTAATAAAAAAGATGCAGTCCATACGTACTCAAGCCTGAAAGCTGGTTGACTTTGGCTATCGTTTTCTCAGCTCATTCTACTCATAGGGTGGTCATTATAGGGGAAATAGAAAGAGGGACTCCCCTGTATGCTGCCTCAAGTTCTTGGATGAAACATGGACTTTTCATCAAATGGAATGTTCATCGTTGGTCAACTGACTTAAAATTTTAAAATATTATTAAAATACTTGGAAAATATTTTAGTTGGTAGCTGCTAGGAGGGCACTTCTCTTTTTTTTCAGAAAAGTTTTGATATTTTTTTATTTATCTCAATTATTTAATCGCACATCTCACCAAAAACAACACTCTGCAGTGTACAACAATTTATTGTCTGTTTGTACTGTTCTTAGGTATTTAAGTATATATAAAATGAAAACACCTCTTCTGTTATTACCACCACATACATACACTGCTTCATGTGTTGTGTGTTTGTTCTCTAAACTTCTCTCTTTTTCATGATACCATCAACTCCATCCAGTAATGAGTTTCCTGTCTTTCCCTTCCTCTCAACTAATTCAATCTTTCATCTTTTTTTCCCTAATTGAATCCTCATTCATTTTCTCTATGTGACCAAATTATCTCAATGTACTTCTTTAGTAGTGAGCACTTATGCAATGTTTTGTTGGTTGGTGAATGCAAAAATAATCCAAGCTTGTTCACAGTGTATGTTTTCTCTAAATCAACAGATGTGTAATAAATAAATAAAGAGGTAAGATAATGAAGGCAGAAGGAAAGGAAAAATGTTGCCTATGCTTAATTTAGAATCTGGCTTTTAACCTAGATGTAGCACTCCCGATAGAAGACATCCCTTAATAGAAAAAGTCCCTGTTCCTGATATTGTAGTTGTACGTCTGCACTTCATTTCAGACATCACACCAAAAGTAATCATTTCAAATGCAGGTCAGAATTCTAGGTAGCTTTCAACAGACTGAGGAACAGCTCTTTTTTGGGCTGGGGTAATAGTTGAAATCCTTTTGGGTCTGTGAATACTCTTCTAGCTTTGAGCTAGTGATTTTCTTTTCAGCCAGACTTACCTCTTGCATAAAATATAAAGAGTTGAGGAAAAAGAATTCATCTATACCATCCCAAGCTCCTTGGAGAAGCAATAGCACACAAATGAACATGACAAGGCAAGAAAAGATACTATTAACATTAACTTCTGGGTCCGTTGTTCAAAAATATCTTTCAATATGTCCAATGTTAAAATATTTTGCTTCATTCTGCAATTGTAAATCGAGATTGAGTATTCGCTTTAATTGTAATATTTACAATTCCTTTTAATTCCTTTTAATTTAAGGTCCATTTAATTCCCTCTAGTGTCCAATTTTTAAAGTCTTATATTTTTTTTTAAAAAAAACACCATTTTCCCACACAAAGGATTCTTTTTAATTAATTCCTAAATCGTATTTCAAATTTATCTAGACGCTTAATCAGTAACTTTCTAAAATCAAAGTTTTAATCACCCTGCTGCTGCTTATTCCATTTTTTTTACATTTGTAAACCTGTAATTAAAGGTTGTTTCACTAAGGATTGAAGAAAACTCAGTCCTGTAAAATCTGTCAATCAAAAGGTTCCTAATATCTGAAAAGCAGTTAAATAATTTCTGACAGTAATTAGAAAGTGAAGTATATTAACTTAGTATCCTTTCAGAGGTATCAACCCCCAGTACCAAACCGAGGTTTATTCTCTCTTCAACTATAGCTCTAAACCTTCTGGAGACCTGCTGCCTGGACCACTTGTGGGAAATCTCAAGTCCTTTCCTTGTCTAGAGAGGAATTATTGAAGACCTGTGTACTCATTCGGACAAGATCTAGAGTAGAGTAGAGTAGAGTAGAGTAGAGTAGAATAGAATAGAATAGAATAGAATAGAATAGAATAGAATAGAATAGAACCTTGGAGGCCTTCTAGTCCAGCCCCCTGCTCAAGCAGGAGAACCTATAGCATCTCAGACAAGTGACTGTCTAGCCTCTTTTTAAAAATCTCCAGTGATAGAGCGCCATGATTTCTGGGGGCAAGCTATTCCACTGGTTAATTGTCCTCACTGTTAGGAACTTTCTCCTTAATTCCAGGTTGCTTCTCTCTTTGATCAGTTTCCAACCATTGTTTCTTGTCCTGCCCTCTGGTGCTTTGGTGAATAACGTGACCCCCTCTTCTTTGTGGCAGCCCCTCAAATACTGGAATACTCTCCCAGTCTCCCAAATACTTATCATGTCTCCCCTATTTCTTCTTTTCTTTAGACTAGTCAAACCCAAGTCCTGCAGCCGTTCTTCGTATGTTTAAGCCTCCAGGCCCTTGATCATCTTAGTTGTTCTTCTCTGAATTTTTTACAAACTCTCAACACCTTTTTTTGATATAGTGACCAAAACTGGCTGCAGTATTCCAGGTGTGGTCTTACTAGGGTTTTATAAAGCGGTACTAATACTTCGTGTGATCTTGATTCTATGCCTCTGTTTATACAACCCAGGATTGTATTAGCTTTTTTGGCTGCTGCTGCACACTGCTGGCTCATAGTCAAATGATCGTCCACTAGGACTCCAAGGTCCCTCTCACAGCTACTGTTTTTAAGCCAAGTCTTGCCCAGTCTGTACTTGTACCTTTGATTTTTTTCCTGCTTAAATGTAAAACTTTGCTTTTCTCCACATTGAAACTCATTTTGTTGGATAGGGCCCATTGTTCAAGTATGTCAAGATCTTTTTGGATCCTGAGTTTGTCTTCTGGGGTGTTGACTACTCCTGCCAGTTTGGTGTCATCTGCAAATGTGATGAGTTCCCCTTCAATTCCTTCATTTAAATCATTGATGAAGATATTGAAGAGTACTGGGTCTGAGACGGAACCTTGTGGTACTCCACTGCTTACTTCTCTCCATGTGGATGTAGTGCCGTTGAGGACTACTCGTTGGGTATGGTTTGCCAGCCAGCTACAGATCCATCTGGTGGTGATGTTGTCTATTCCACCTTGTTCTAGCTTACCAAGGAGTAGGTTGTGGTCTACTTTATCAAATGCCTTACTGAAGTCTAAGTATACTACGTCCACAGTATTTCGCTGGTCTATTAGTTTAGTCACTTTGTTGAAGAATGAAATAAGATTGGTTTGGCATGATCTATTTTTAACAAACCCGTGCTGGCTACTAGTTACAACTTTATTTGCTTCTAATTGTTCGTAGATCTATTTTTTGATTATCTTTTCTGGGATCTTCCCAGGTATTGATGTTAAACTGATTGGTCTGTAGTTTCCTAGGTCCATTTTTTTTCCCTTTCTTGAAGAAGGGAACCACATCAGCCCTTTTCCAATCCTCAGGTACTTCCCCAGTGCTCCAGGATTTTTGAAAGATGTGGTGCAATGGTTCTGAGATAACATCTGCCAGCTCCTTCAGAACTCTGAGATGTAATCTGTCAGGCCTTGGTGATTTATATTCGTCAAGGTCGGATAGGTTTTCTCTTACCATTTTCTTGCTTATATTAATTTTTGTTTCTAATTTGTCATTTGCATTCGGGGTTTTTTGGTATGTTGGGCTATAGTTTCTTTTTGTGTGAAGACTGATGCAAAGTATGAGTTAAGCAGCTCTGCTTTTTCCCTGTTGCCTGTTATTTCCTTGCCATCTTCTCTCTTTAGTGGACCTACAGTTTCAAGACTGACTTGAAACAGGATTTTTAAAACGATAGGCTATAAGAATGACATGGTAAAACATGTTACTCTGGGCATACAAAAGAAATCAGCTGATGTCTTAATAATTAAAAAAATTACACAAATAACAAACCAAGAGAACGACTTGGATAATTTTACTATATTGGATTTATAAAAAGCATGTTAATGTTTTGAAGAATTTTTTTGAGAATGGACAAAGTAAAATTGAAAAGAAATTAAGTTCTATGACATTTGAAGGAATTAAATGTCAAGATTGTTAGAAGGAATATAAAGTTGGTTTATTTGATTGAAATAAATAGATATGTTAAAATAGATATGTTGTTATCTCTGGTAACCTCAATGGACAATAGGACTGAAATGATGAGATTTATGGATTTGTTTATAAATAAGTGATAGGACATGGGAAGAAGAGATCATTTGCTGTATTTTAAGAGAAGGTGATAAGTTACTAAAATTGTTTATACTTGTTATGAAGTTGGGAAGTCAATTCTTTATATATTTTCTTTTTCTTTACTATATTCTTATTTTTTCTCTTTCTCTTTCTCTTTTTTCCCATTCTTCTTTTCTGCACTTTCTTCTTTTTTATTCTTTTTCCATCTTGCATTAGCTTTTTCTGTTGCAATTATAATCTTTAATAAAATTATGATTAGAAAAAAAACAAAGCAAGAAATGAATATACTTTTAAAATCTTTTTCTGTTTTTCTCTTTGGCATTTCTACTTCTAATTGGCTGATTTCAAATTCTAGCCTGACCAATCAAACTGTAATATTGTATGAGGAGTCTGGAGTCTGTGTTTTTGCATGTTGTGATTAAATTAACTTTATTGCTGCAAACATGCAACTATATTAGATAGAAAGGAAAATGTTTTCCCCATAGGATCGCTGCCTCTGGAATAGGACTGAGAAAAAAAAAGATCAGTTATGTACAAATAAGGGTTGGGGAGCCTGGTTTCCGGTTCTGCGCAGCTAGCGCACCAGCCGAGGGATCGATCCGATCCGATCCCTATGGCTGATTTGTCTCTGTTTGGGGACCCTAAATGGGCCCAAAGCCACCCCGGAGAGGTGGCAAGGAAGGCCCCGTCGATCCTGGGGAGACGGTGGTCGATCTGGACGTCTGGGGAAAGCTCTCCAAAAACCGACAGAAGAAAGGCTAGCGTCATTCATGCATCTAGCTAGCCCAAGGTATATGCAGCCGAAGCCAAAAAGCACTAAACTAAGCATGATTGTAAACAGCGTGACTGAACTGGGTAAGAATATTGTTTTTCTCTCTTCTACCTGACTGATTTCCTGAGAAAAAAAAAGAAAAAGCCCCAGAAGTAAAAATCCTCCGAAAGTGAGGGGGGTGTCTTTGTTCCACCCTCCTCTGAAAGAAAGCGGCGAATTAAGTTTAGGGGGAAAAAATTGAAAGATGGACTGGATTTGTGACGAGGCAACCAAGATGACCAGATAGAAAAGAAGCACGATATTGATGAGATTATTATTGGTAGAAATTTTAGAAAAACCTTTATATTTAATTGTTACCTATCAAATTAATAAGAATTGTATTAATTTAGGTTGCAAAGAGAATATTATTGGAAGAAAAGAAAATTAAGCAAAGTTATAATGTGGATTTTGGAATATAGAAATTAACCGATAGTGATTACTTTGTAAATATAAATCCAGATAACACGCTGTTTACCAAATATCAAAATGTTTATATTAAAAAAATCAATAAAATATATTTTTTAAAAAAGGGTTGGGGAGCCTTTCCAGCAACTCCAGTCTTTATGACTATGGAGAAGAATCCTGGAATATCAAAAGAATGGTATAAGAGTACACCAGATTTTCCACTCTCCATTTGGTCCTCCGTTACATATTTTACAAAATGGAGGTTTACCTAGTGCCCTAAAAACTCAAGCGACCTTTCTCTGGATTGGGAGGATATTGAAAACTGCTTGCTGTCTTTTATAACTGTATGCTATATAACTTAAACTTGTAGAATAAATTATTTTGTCTTCTTCCCTTCTGTGCGTCTTCCTGGCTAGGAGATGACAAACGTCCAGTTGCCAAGAAGCCATTTAGAAAACTGACTTTTTCTGTAACATTGACTTATTTTTGGATTGCGTATCTGCCTGTGCTTGTTTCCACCTGACCTTTGCCCTTTTGTGTTTGAGAAGTGGAAACTTGCCATGGTGCTACAGCCAAAGAGCAGCAGCTTTTTTCTGACCATTAAAGCACGGTGTAGTAACTCCTGTTGGCTGTGATTTCAATTTCATAAGTCTTTGTAGCAACTTGCTAAGAAATTAAAATAAAAACCTTTATTTCTATGCTAAAGCCTGGCAAAGGAAAAAGTCTATGGAAAATTACATTCTTAAGAGTCATATAATGCTTTTAAGTGCAGCTAGATTGGCTTGAAGGAGTGTCCTTAATAACTGACGTGGAGTGAAATCAATTGCATAGTCACCTGATGATCTGTCCATATAATCGGTTTGCCAGAACCCTTGGAATTGCGTGGCATGGCTAGAGTCATAATTATTCCTACTGATTAGGAAGATAATAAGTACAGTAAACTCTGATCCTCTGCCAGTCTTTGAGTCATCAGTGATTTAGCTTTCAATGTGAAAAAGGAAATGTAGATGGAACTCCATACAAAAATTGTAAGTAGGCCTCTTAAGCTAGATAGACCAGGCTTTCAGGAAAAAAATTATACGGCTGGCAGGGGTGCAGGCAAGATTTCTGAGTCATAAGTTTTGTAGGCTTACGGAACCAGAGATTAATTAAAATGAGAATATTACATCTTTCTGATGAGCCTTCCTCTTGTCCAAAAATAATAATTTGAGTCACTATTAGAATTTGGAGATAAGGTTTAAAACGGGTTGATTTATAATTACAGAATCTAAGGTGAGAGAAAGGCAGGCAGGCATAAACAAGATTAGTCCTAAGAAAAGGCACAAATAGAATAATTTCACCTTAAGTGTTGTCTTTTTGGAGTGTCCTTAGATGATTAATCAAAGTAAAATCTAAATATGCGTATATAATTATTCAAAATAATTAGCAGGATTCTAAAAATAATTGATTGCAAGATGTGGTTTTTAAAACTCTGTGATTGAATAAACCCCATCTGGCTTTGTTGGCAAATGGTAAATACTACATATTTTACAAAGCATAATGATTTTGTTTGTAAACAGGTTTAGCAAAGTGAAACAAGCTACATTAGATTTAGAACAGTGTTTCTAGATCTTGATAACTTAAAGGTGGATAGCCTTGAATTTCCAGAATTCCCTGGCATTAGCCCAGCTAGGGAAGTAATTCAGATTCAAAAATTGCTGAGTGTAGAGGTATGTTTACTGTGATAATATTCTTGGGAACAGCTACTGATATTATATTGGATAAGTGTAAACTAGTCATGCTGGCTAGCTGTACGTTCTAGTTCTTCTAATAATAAAAACCTACGCTTTTTTTTATAGATCTCTGTGACCATGCCTTACATCTCCCACATGATGAACTGTGAAGTGTAAAGGTTGACTGACCTGGTAGAAGACTTTGCCCAATTCTTTGTAGACTACATCCCTTTTTACAAGCACTTGTAATTATTGTCCCAGGAGTTGTCTTTCAATTTGGGGGAAAGTGCAGAACATCCTAGAAACTGAAGATTGTGTATCAGAGGAGAGCAAAAAAAATCCCAAGACAAGTTTCTTTGTAGAATTTTCTGAAGCAAACAGAAGATGATAGATCCAACATTTGACTTTTTTAAGCACACACTAATTAGATTGTTTTGTAAAAGGAAAGAGATTTCTATTATTATCAAAGTCCACTTTGCAGTAGCATTGACACTGTTAATGCATTCTAGTTTTTAAAGTAAAAAAATGCTTTGTGGCTATATGCAAACTCTGACTGCAGATTATCTCAAGCAACCAGCAATACAACTTCCACATTCACTTCCAAAATAGAATTTGAACAGAAGAATCTTGTGAATGTTACTCTCACTCTTGAACCCATATTATTCAAGATCTGGGGCAGGACAGTCATTTGTAAAACCTTTCTCTGAATGGGAAAGATAAATAGAACCTATAGAGATGCCCTCATTATAAAGCCAAAGAGGGGACCATTGTATAGCACCTCCCCAGTCTTCAACACAGCTATGGTTGTGATGGCCATATGGAGGCCACATAACATTGTTACTGTGCAGGGATTGCTCCATACTGTAGATGGAGTATTTGTAGAACATACCCAGTTGGTTATTACATGGTTTAATTTTGTTGTGTGAAGAGCCACCTGACCTCAAAAAGTGGCCTCTAGGAATGATTGGCCATATTACAGAGATTCTACACAAAACATTCAGGTCAGATAGCAAGCCAGTCTATATTGTCTGTATGTGGAGTGATCACTACACAACAGTCTTTTTATTGTCTTTTAAATTATTACATAAAATGGCTGCTACCTTGCTGTGAGATGTGAGTGAGATTCAGGAATCTGCTGATTTGGGGCATCAGACAGTTGGAGAATGGGGAAGATGTACTCTTCTACAGGCTTTTTACATGTTTTATAACAGTTTCTTTTAACCTATGTTTTCATAGAGAGGATAAAATACATTCCAGTGATGGCAAGATAATAAATTGGAATTGGGACCTAGTCGAATTGGCTACTGGTTTTTTTCCTCCATTTGTAATTGAAAAGAATATTAAAGCATTATAGAGCACATTGACTTTACTGCTATTAACAACAATCTTAGATTTTTTTTTCACCTTCCATTGGGGAGTTCAGTCACTTGCATCATCAAAAACATCAAACATGTAGCCTCCCAAATTTATTCAGATAATGCCCAGAACCATGCTGGATTCACATGTCATATTAAGTCACAATCACACAAATCATATTACAAGCCTTTGATTTGCTTCCATTATGCCCTTCAACTTTAACTACCTACTGTATCTAATATGAAATACTACTGGTCTGGGATGGTGAAAAAGATTACTAAACTAAGACAAAGAATGCCATAATTTACCCTCCTACATGGGAGCTAAGTAGCCATTGTTATGCAGATTTTTAAAAATTCACATAATACAGTTACTATAAAATGATTTTGTAGAGCTCATATACAGAGCTTAGCCTTAAAATGATTTAATTTATTATATTGTGCAAACATGGCCAGCTGTAGTTTATTTAGCAAATAATTGTTAAACTATGGTTCAGTACAATATGAACCAGATTGATGTCTTCCTTATATTTTCAATTTCCATTGGAAAGCAGTGAAACTTGTCAAAAGGAGCAACTGGTTGTATTTTCTGCCTTTATTTAAACATTTTTTTCATTAGGCAGAAAATGATCAGGTAATTTGCACTTTAAATTATTTACCAAAGGCAAGAAAAGCAATAAGAAGTCAGGGTGTGTGCAAAGTTAAGACCAGCACATTGAATTGTGCTCAGAAGCAGACTGGCAACTAAGTGTAGATGAAATGACACTGGGATTCTCAATGCATATCGCTGAACTGTAGTATAGGTTGCTGCATTCTAAATTAACAAAAATTGCCAAACATTTTTCAAAGGCTATTTAGTCTCCTGAAAGAGAAATTACCACTGAGTTATCTCTACTTTGATAGTTGTCATGGCTTCTGTGGACCTTTCTAAAACAGGTATGCAGCTCTATTAATTTGTGACAATCTGGGGGGAAAAGCACCAAGTGATCTTGGAAATACTGAGATTATGTTTCTGTAAGGAACAACCTTCATTCTCGAGGTCAAATTTGTGTGCATTGTATATTCATGTTAAAAAAAATGTTGTTAAACATTTACATCCAAAAATGGTTGTCTTGCTAAGATGCTGTTATCCCTCTTCCACTTGCACTGCATAGAAATTTACATACATTTCTATATAGAAATGTCTATATCTTGAATTACCCATGGACAAAAAAAATCTCTTGCATTTAGGAATGCTAAATGACATTTTGATTCAGTTTGAGGACTCTGCGCTGTCATCTATCTGCTGTGAAAGAATACAGGCTAAAGGCAGAATGTGTATTTGGAACTTTGCAGATTTCAGGAGGGTATGCAATAGGTAAGGCACTCAGCCAAATGGAGCAAGAGGCATAAACCAACCCACCAGCTAAGGAAAGGCCTTTGTCCTGCAATATCTCTTGCCTTATCACTCTTCCCACACTCTTCCGATCTGCAATATGTCAATACTAGCACAGTGCTGAGTGATGTTCAACTACAGTACTGCATTGAAAGGAGGCATACTGCTGATTGAGGCCTTTGTAAAAAGCTGAAGGCATGGTGTTTGTAAATTGCTTTAAGGAGAGTTGGGCTTTTCCTGTACTTTTGCTTGAGTCAAAGGACAAGATGATATCTTCTGTAACTAAATGAATTGGTTTAATTGTACTTGCAACAGTGGAAAATTTGAGCATGTTTGCTCGAGGTGAAACGGTCCTGTGGCACATGGTACTTCCACCTTGCAATTGCTTTCCATTTGCTTTGTAAAGTAAGTATATCCTTAAAAACTATCCCAATTTATACACTGCATTAAGCTATGTATCAACCTGGCTAGATTCACAATTGTACAAAACCAGTAATGAGCAAATTATTAAAAAAGTTATGTTAACTTCTGAGGAGCACAAGATGTGTGCATTGTCATCTGGTAGATGTGCCTGAGCATGGGACCAAGGTCACAAATGTTTTTATTCCTGTTTTAATCACGGGGGGAAAATGGCCTTTTTTGCTGAAGAATTTTAACATTATGACTTAGTAATTCTCTGGAGACTGCAGACCTTCTACCCCTGACTAAACAAAGCTGATATATAAAATAACTTTTATTGAGAGCAGAACTGCTTCCCGCCTTCGCAAAACGGGAAGCCGAGGCTCACTAAACCAGGGGTAGTCAACCTTGGCTCTTTTATGACTCGTGGACTTTAACTCCCAGGATTCCTGAGCCAGCTAAGCTGGCTCAGGAATTCTGGGAGTTGAAGTCCACGAGTCATAAAAGAGCCAAGGTTGACTACCCCTGCACTAAACCAACGCTGACAAGCGGAAACGCGCTTGGCGCGCTAAAGGCGCCTTCTCCGACGCCTAGATGGGACGCCTCGCTCAACGTTCGACCCCCGCCCTTCCCGCCCCCTCCGCGCGCAGCCAGGCCTGCCCATCACCGCCTCGCAGCCAATCGCAGCGCTCCCCCGCCGCCGGAAAAGAGGCGCGGCTCTTTGGGCGAGAGGCAGCGACTCTGTTAATGCCGCTTTGGGCCTTCTCCCAGCCTTGCTCCGCCCTGACGTTGCCAGAACCCAGCCCGGCTCAGCCAGCTCGTCTTCTTCCCCCTGCCCTCCCCCCCTTGCCCCCGGGTCTTCGCTGCCTGCTTTTTCTGCCCGCCTCCAGGACTGTCCCCTCGCGAGGGCGGCTTCTGCTTTCCCTTTCGCCGCCACGCCAGTTTGGTCGCTGCTCGCCATGACCTTGTTGACTGCCGGTAGCAGGGCGGCCGCGCGCCTGTTGGGAGCCAAGGTGAAGGTTTTTTTTTTTTCCCTCCCCCCCCCCTCCTTCCCTTTTTCGTGGGGTGGGTGGCTGTTCTTGCGAGCGCCATGACCGCTATTGCCGCGACTTGGGCTTGGCTCGGGATGGGGGGGGGGTGTAAGAGGAGAAAAAGGGGCTGCGGGCTGTCACCGCAGGGCAGCCTCTCTCGTGTCCGCGTGGAAGTTCTCATGTGCTTCCCTTCCCACGTCAGCTCGCAGACCAGCCCGAAGTGCGATTTGGGCAGGGTGTTTCCTTCCCCCCCCCCCGCCTCCCCTTCGGGGGTGCCAGCCAGCCCTACGGAGGCTTGGCATGCAGAGCTCCTTGTGTCCTTGGGGTTGAGATGGGGGTCTTTTCCCCCTCCGCTCTCTCTCTCTCTCTCTCTCTCTCTCTCTCTCTCCCCAGCGGCTGCGAGGATGAGCGAGCGCGTTTAAGATGTTCTTGACTCTCGCTCTTTATTCTCCTTCCTTGTCCCGCGGTCGCAAAGAGATTATCACGCGAAGGCTGCGGTCGTGAGGGTGGGGTGCTTTGGAAACGGGCGGGAGGTTGGTAGTTGGAGATCGGGCTCGTTACAGAGAACAAACAAACAACGAACAAACAAACAGACGTCTTTTCTCTCTCTCCCCCCCCTTCCTTCCAATACTGCGAAGTTTGACCACCTTGGTCTTTATGGTATTCTTTAGGCCAGGGGTAGGCAACCTCGGCTCTTTTATGACTCATGGACTTCAACTCCCAGAATTCCTGAGTCAGCTACGCTGACTCAGGAATTCTGGGAGTTGAAGTCCATGAGTCATAAAAGAGCCGAGGTTGCCTACCCCTGGCTTTAGGCCTTGGCGGGACGGCTCACACTTTTTTTTTCCGTTCACGTGACCTCTGAAGGGGAAGCTCTTGGCTCTCTCTGTCATGTTCAATCTGTATATAATATACTCGAATACAATTTTAAATTGGTATTTAGGGGAAAGGTGCATGCTGGGTATTCGTGTTCGTGTTCCTTTCTAAGGCATGAAACTGATACGGCTACTAGACTGAGCTGGTGGAAAGGCAGCTTGGAAAAATGTGTATGTGTTGGCTTATGGAATATGCTTAAGAGCAAATGGGAGGTTGACAAGAAAAGGAAAGATAGACTTGCACTACTAGAGTGTAGCCTAATGGCTACAGATAATTGTCTTGCTAGTTATTTAGAAGTGCTTGTAAATGATAAATATCTTTGTGGGTGGGATGTAACTGGAATGACAGCGGGGTTTTTTTTTAATGCCTTAGTTTCATTGTTAGGGGAAACACATGTATTGGGAATAGTTATATGTTTAGGAAAATGATGAACTCAGTGACTGGGTTCATGATTTTAAGCCTGATATATTATGTGTAAAATATGAAACCTTAAGGTTGGAAATATGAATCCCTGATGCTTAAGAGTTTGGGGAGAGCTGTAATTATGCTTTTGCTATTGTTGTGCAATTAGATGCAAACATGATTTACTTGCCTATCCTACTATAATCAGTGGAACAGGTGTCTGCCCACTTTCTATGTGTCTCTATTTCCTCCCCCCCACCCCCCCCTTTCAGATCTTCTATATTAAATAATCTGATAATTTGTAGAAACTGTCCATTGGTAGATTGGTAGATTGCTTGGAAGGGAGTGAAGTCCACTGTTAAAGTGAGCATTTTCTTTGTCAGTTTTCTAGGGAGGGCCACAAAAAATGAAAAAATAAGTTTTGTTTTAAACATAAAGGATTTCATCCCCCAAATTATTTTGGACTGAGTGTAGTTTGGTAGAAACAAAAGCTGAAATGTTTTTACTGTTCTTTGTTTCAATAGAATAAACACCTGATACACTTCCTGAAGTTCTGTCTATGGATTCAGATTAAGCATTTGGGACTTATCAAAATCTGGATGACCATTAGATAGCAGCAAAGAAAACCACCCAATTATAGGAGCTGAAAGTGTACCATCTGAACAACTTTCAACCCATGTCCACAATAAAACAGCTGTTTAGAACTGTATCTGGAAAAAAAAAACTGAAACGTGCTTATTTTGGTTTGTACATAAACCATTTGAAACTAGCTGTTCCTTGTACAACTATTAATATTATATCTGAAGAGGGTTAGGCCTGTGCCTTTTCCTTTGTATAGTTTGGAGTAGTAGTCTCTTAAAGTTAACCTCTTAATGTCTGATTATATTGTTGATTTCCTAATGTGACAGTGGTAATCAAATACATTGAAGGGACCAA